TCAAGAAAGAGAGCTGAAAATAAAACCACACATTTTCTTTTGAAAAATCATTTTACATAGTCATAGAATAGTAATATGATAGGCCTACTTATAAAATGATATCATGGTAAATGTAATAAAATAGCTTTAGGGCAGGGAAACATTTGGGACATATAAATATTCATCTTGCCAATAACACAACCATAGCTCATAAGGGACCACCTGTGCATGTGGGACCTGGCTTGAAACTGATGAACACCTGGGTTAACTGTCTATAGCACAAAGAACTTCTCTTTGAGTTGAGAGCAATAGTTCCCTTTTTTCTGTGTTTTTTTTATTTTTAATTATTATGAATACATAATGGTTCTATATTTTCTTCAGGCACATCTGATGCTTTGATATAGTTGTATAATGTCAAATCAGGATGATTGGGTTGTCCAATAGATGGGTCCCTTCTGTTTACTTATTTGAGGAACAAGTATTTACAGGAACACTTACTCTGTGTTGGTACTGTGTTGAAGATACAAAAGTTATAAGGTTTAGTCTAAACCAGTGGTTCTCAACCTATGGGTTGCAACCCACAGGAATTGTATTAAAGGCTCACTGTATTAGGAAGGTTGAGGACCACTGATCTAAACTAATAAGGTTTAGTCTCCATTAACAGTGAAATCAGTGTACTTTAGGCGATACAAGCAAATTTCACCAGGTAGATGAGGTGAATAGTGTGAACAAATGATGACATGACCAAGAACTGAAAAATTATACCTAATGGCAGCTGTTTTTGTAAATGAAGCTTTATTGGCACACAGCTACACTCATTCATTCATGTTACATATGGCTAGTGATATTTTCATGCTACAATGGTAGAGTCAAGTATATTGTAACAGAAACCATATGATCTACAAAGCCTACAATATTTGCTATATTGTCCTTGGTTGAAAAGTTTGCTGACCCCTGTCATAAACCAAATCAGAGAAATTCGGAGTAGCTGAAGAAAGATTAATGTAAACATAAAATCATGAAAGAGAATTTCATCTTAACAAATGTGATCATAATGGTTCATTAGGATTTTTATTATTCTATCCCATGTTTAAAGATATCAAGTGCTTTAGTACACACACACACACACACACATATACATACACACAACACACACGTAGCAGATATATAGGCACATAAATATACACATATAGTTAAAAATTATTAATAAAGTTGCAATATTGAATCATATAAATAAGGTATTTGGAATTATAAATAGGGGATAGGGGATCTTTTATTTGTCTACCCAAAAAGCTATAAATTTCCTACATTTTTGTTTTACCTATTTTCTTTTGATTCCCTACTATTGCCATTAAGTGTTCTTCCTGCTTTCAAAGAACCATCCCTTCATAAGGATAGGATCCAACACTTCTCTACTTCCTCAGCATTTATTTCACTAGTTGTCCTCATTCTTTTCTGTATCTTCAACAATTTCCACTCTGTAAGACTTAACACTCCAGTATTTAGACATACTCAAGCTAAAAAGAAAATTTCTCTCCAATAATATCACATTTCCACTCAGTTTTTGCCATATTTCTTAAGCAAACCAAACCCAAAGCCAAGATCAAAGTAGAATTAAATGAAATGGAAAGCAAAAAAATAAGACAAAGAATCAACAAAACAAATAATTTGGCTCCTTGAAAGATAAACAGACCTCTTGATAGATTAATAAAAATAGAAGACAAAGGACCCAAAAGAGCTCAGTCAGAAATGAAAAAGGTTCAGGTGGAACAAAATAGCAGACTAGAAAAATCTCCAGGCTAGCCTTTCCCAACAAGACAGTGGAAAGAGCACTACACCAACATTTGGTGGGAGAAAACTACCTGGATTCATCCCTCCTGAGCACAGGGAGACATTGGTGGAATTCAGGAGACAATAGGATGTCCGGACCTGTGAAGGGCTGACACAAAAGGCAAGTGAGTAGGAGCAGGTGGGACTGGCTGGCCAGCCCTCCGATGGAGGTCCGGGCGGGATAGGGCCGTTCTGCAGCTTGTGGATTTCTGGGGAAGCAATCCACTGGAACCTATAGAAAGATTGAAAAAGTGGTGGGATTTAAACAGTGTACAGCCACCGATTTTGAATATCAGGCGGAGGTGATTTCCCATCATCTTGTCTGCTGGCAGGGCCACCACTGCAGGAAAGTGGGGCTGCAAGCTGGGCTGCCACTGAGGGAAGGTCTTTACAGCAGAGTCCTAACACACGGCTGGCCCTGTTGCACCTGCCTAGCTTGGGCATTCGCTCCTCTGAGAGTTGAGTGGCTCCCAAACCCCCCAGGAATTGTTGTCAAGAGCATTGTGAAACTTGCCATCCAAGGACTCTGGAGAGCATTAAGACCCCAACCCAGTGAGGACAAAAAGCTGAGTAAACATTTAGCACAGACAGAGGGCAACTAAGGATAATAGGACCCATATTCCTGGGCAACTATGAGAGTGGTTTCCAGCCTGTGTTCTTCATCTCCTAACACCATAGTGCCCTCTCCTGTCCTGAAGATATATTGCAACATATATTTATTTTTGTTAATATTGTGTCCTACAAATTTTACTTTTATTTTTTAATTTTATTTTTAATTTTTTTCTGTTTCAGAGTTTTTTTTCTTTTATCTTTTTTGATTGTTGAGGTGATAGTTGTTATGGTTATTTTATTTTTTTGTCCATTTTGCTTTGTTTTATGCTAGTTTGGTTGGTTACATTTTTAATCTCCATTTTTACTTTCTTCAGAAGCGAGGTCTCCTGTATTCTTGTTATAGTATCTCAATACCAATTATTCTCTATCCTCTGTTTTACTTCTCTCCCTTTCTCTTTTGCTAGAGCCTTTTCTACTTATCTCACATTTTCCACATAAACTTCTCATACAACTCTTAAGGTATCCCCCTTTTTTGATGGTTGTTTGTTTCTGCTTTCTTTTTTCTTATATTTCTTTATCTGAAATAACTACATTTTAAACCTTCTTTACATATTCTTCTTTATTTTTTTCTTTTTTCTTTCTCTCTTTTCTCTGAGAGGTTGCTGGTCTCAGCATTAATCTTGCTGGAAGGTCACAGCACAGGTCTGTTTCAAGATCATGAGATCACAATCTAGGTAGACCTTCTACTTTAGGCCTCTAAAAAGACAACATTGGCAAGTCTACACTGCTAAACTCTTTCTTCTTTTTTCTTTGCTTTTTATTCTTTCTTTCTTCTATTCTTTCTCTTCCTATATTTGGCAGAAGTAGCCACTTGCTTTCCTCAGGCTGGTAAGAAACTCCTGAGGAGGAGGAACCCATCCAGCCCAAAACTCTTTAATAACTTGACTTACAGGTGTGTAACTCTGTCCTCCTTCTCCCCTATTCTTCTATTCTTGTCTTTCATCTCTCTTCCTTTTTTTTCCTTCTTTTTTCTTCTTTCTTTCATTTCCTCTTTTTCCTCCCTGTTGCTCTTTACCTTCTTTTCCTTTTGGCCTATGTAAAGATGCAACTTCAACATCTAAGGTCAGAGAAAAGGTATTCTAAAGTAAAGGAGGAAGCGAGAAGGAAAAAGTAGGGCAGAAAGATGAACAAGAGAAAAAAAAAAACACTTGAGGCAGCACCAACAGAAAAATTACAGCAACATGAAAAATCAAAATGGAGCAGCTCCCCCCAATGGGCCATGAGGTAGCTATTACAGAGGACATAACCTATAAGAAATTAATGGAATTGACAGAAAGGGAATTTAAAATCTGTATGATAATGCCAATAAAGGGAATAGACAAGAAAGTAGAAAAATATAGCCAAAAGATGGATGAGAAACATGAAAAATAAAGAAAGGATATGCCAGAGCTTAAGGAAATGAAGGAGACAATCAGGTAACATAAAGATGCAGTAGTAAGTATCAAAAATAGATCAGACCATGGAGAGGAAAGAATCTCAGATCCAGAGGATAAAGTTCTTGATTAAGCCAAGTAGTGAAAGATGTAGAAAAGAAGAGAAAGAAAGCAGAACAGTTGCTCAGAGAACTATGGGACTTCACAAAGTATTCAAACATTTTATTTGAATGTTTGGTGGTGTGGTACAACCCTTATTACAAATAATAATCCCCCTTATTACAAATAATAGGGAACTCTGAAGGGGAAGAAGAGCATACCAAAGGAATGGAAGCCCTACTGGAGACTATCATAAATGAAAATTGCCAAGTTTCTTAAAGATTCCGGTGCATTCCTTTCCAGGGGATATCAAACCCCAGGTCATCTCTACTCAAAAGAGCCAGTCTAAGACACAGACCCAAAGTCAAGACAAAAGAGAAAATTCTTTCAGCAGGCAGGAATTAGTGCCAACTGACCTATAGGGGCAATGCTATAAGTGTGACAGCAGACTTTTCACCAGAAACTTTCCAAGCTAGAAGAGTATGGTCATCTATATTTACCTTTCCTAATTTTAAGTCCAAAATTCTGTATCCCTCTAAAACAGTGGTTCTCAACATTCCTAAAGCTGCAAAGCTGTAATACAGTTAAAAAGGGTCATGATCCACAGGTAAAGAACCAGTGTCTAAAACTAAGCTTCAAATTGATGGAAAAAGCAAATCCTTTTTTTTTTTTTTTTTTTTTTTTGGACAGGAAATAGTATTTATTATTGGTAGGTGCAAATGATAGGCAACATAGTGTAAGTCCTCATGAGTGCAGAGCCTGCCTCTTGTCCAGGGGACCACAATTGGGGATGTATTTGACCCCACAGCCTTCTGGGATGATCTGCTTCTCAGTCACCATATCTTCAAATTCATCTGAGTTAAACTCTCAACTTTTCAGATCCCCTTTCCTGTAAATGTGAATCTTCCGGTGGCCAAGAAACTTGAACTCGGCCCTGCAAAGGGCTTCAACCTCATGCTGCTGGTTTGATTTTGATGGACATGATGACTTGGTCAATGTGAACTCTGGCCACAGTGCCCTAGGGCTTTCCTAAGGCACCATGCATACCTGTTGGGAGCTTAGACTGGACATAGCACAAGGTCTAACACATCAATATATATAGGAAAGGAATGTCTTTAAGGTCCCTTAGAGCAACCTACACAAACAACAGGCTGCATACAACCAAGGAGGCTGCTATTTACAGTCATGGCACACCAGGCCTCCATGAGGAAAGGAGCATGGTTTTCTTAATTAGCTGCAGGAGCGAAATCAAAACTTTTGCTAATAAGCAAACATTGAGGAAATTTGACACAACAAGACCAGCTCTACAGGAAATACTTAGACCTATTATCAACACTGTCCATCACAGTGGACCACCAGCAAAGTAAATACACAGAAACAAAATATCAAAATAAACTTGTTATCAAGACTGTCCATCATAATGGACCACCAACAATGTAAACATACAGAAACAAAATGTCTAAATGTAGTTTCCACAATGGGGTAAAAAATAAAAATATGCAAAGGACTTTGACAAAATAAGATGAATAGAACTCCACCACACTTCTCAATTGTGTCAATAAATGTAAATGGCTTGAACTCCCCACTGAAGAGGCGCAGGCTATCTGACTAGATAAGAAAGCACAAACCATCAATATGCTGTCTACAAGAAATGCACCTAACCTTGAAAGAAGACTCAGGGTTAAGGGATGGAAAACAATATTTAAGGCAAATGAAAATCAGAAGAAAGGAGGGGTTGCAATCTTATTTTCAGATATAAGTTGATTTAAAGCAACTAAAATCATGAAAGACAAAGATAGTCACTTCATACTGGTTAAGGGAACAATACAACAAGAAGACATTTCAATTTTAAATATTTATGCACCTAGCTTAAATGCTCGCAGATTTGTGAAATAGACCTTGATCAGTCTGAGCAATATGATATCCCATAACACCATAATATCCTGGGATTTTAACACACCTCTAACAGAACTGCACAGATACTCTAAACAGAAACTAAACAAAAAATACAAGAGGCTTAAAGGTGACTCTTAAAGAAATGGGCTTAATATACATATATAGAACACACCACCTTAAAGCTAAGGAATATACATTCTTCTCATCATCTCATGAAACATCCTTCAAAATAGATCATATACTGGGATACACAGAAAGCCTGAACAAAATTAAAAGAATAAAAAATTATACCCTATATATTCTCAGACCACAAGGCTAAAAGGTCAGAACTCAAGTCTAACAAAAACATTCAAACCCACACATTAAACAACTTTAATGGAAGGTATGGAAATTAAACAACTTTATGCTGAATGATAGTTGGGTCAAAGAAGAGATAAAGGAGAAAATTGTTAAGTTCCTCAAGCATAACAACAATGAAGTTACAAGTTACCAAACACCTGTGGGATACTCAAAAGCAGTCATAGAGGGAAATTTATTAAATTAGATGACTACATCCAAAAAACAAAAAGAGAGCACATCAAGAAACTAATGAATAACATTAAGGAAATGGAAAAAGAACAATCTAATACCAAACCCAACAGAGGAAAAGAAATAACCAAAATTAAATCAGAAACTATTGAAATTGGAAACAAAAGAATCATTCAGAAAATTAATGGAAAAAGAATCATTCAGAAAATTAATGAAACAGTTTCTTTTCCAATAAAATAAAATAAAATCCATAATTCTTTGGCCAGATTAACTAGACACAGAAAAGTAAAATATTTAATAACCTCAATCAGAAATAATAAAGGGAAAATAACAACAGATATCACAGAAATAGAAGAGATTATTTCTGAATACTAGAAGAAAACATATGCCCAGAAATTTGACAAGGTGGAGGAAATAGACAAATACCTGGAATTACACCCTCTCCCTAGACTTAACCAAGAAGAAATAGATCTCTTAAACAGACCAAATTCAGGCACCGATATTGAAGAAACAATAAAAAGTCTCCAAACAAAAATACCCTGGTTCTGATGGCTTTACATTAGAATTCTATCAAACCTTCAAAGAAGAGCTTATACCTTATACTGCAGAAATTATTCAAAAATTTGAGAAGGACAGAATCTTCCCTAACACTTTCTGAGAAGCAAATATCACTCTAATAACAAAACTAGAAAAGACCCAACTAAAAAGGATAACTGCAGACAAATTGCATTTATTAATTCAAAAATAGTCAATAAAATGTGAGCCAATAGATTACAGTTACACATTAAAAAATTTATACAACACAATCCAGTAGGCTTTATCCCAGGGATAAAAGGTTGGTTTAACATATGCAAGTCCATTAACATAATTCACCATATCAACAGAAGGAAAAAGAAAGACCATATGATCCTTTCAATAGATGCAGAAAAAGCATTTGATAAAATTCAGCAACCTTTTCTAATAAGAACACTAAAAAAATAGGCATAGGTGGCACATTTCTTAAAATAATTGACACAATCTACAACAATCCTATAGCTAATATTATACTGCAAGGAGTAAAACTGTAAGTTTTTCCACTTAGAACTGGAACCAGACAAAGATGTTCTCTATTGCCACTACTATTGAAAATAGTACTGGAAGTTCTAGCCAATGCAATCAGGCAAGAAAAGGAAATAATGGACATCCAAATGGGGAAAGAGGAGGTCAAACTCTTGCTCTTTGCCAATGATATGATTTTACACTTAGCCCAAATACTGAACTATAAAACTCCAGGAAGTAATCAAGAAATACTCAGGGTACAAAATCATTAACAAATCAGTAGCCTTTGTATATGCCAACAACAGTCAGGATAAGAAGTTAATCAAGGACACAATTACCTTCACAGAAATTAAAAGAAAATGAAATACCTAGGAATTTATACCTAACAAAAGAGGTGAAGGACCTCTACGAAAAGAATCATGAAACCCTGAGAAAAGAAATAGCAGAAGACTCTAATAAATGGAAGAGCATACCATGCTCAAGGCAGGTAAGAATCAACATTGTTAAAATGTCTATGATTTCAAAAGCAATCTACAAATTCAATGTAATCCCCATTAAAATACTATCATCATACTTTGAAGATTGGAAAAAAACGTTCTTTGTTTTGTATGGCACCAGGAAAAAAAAGCATATAGCCAAGGCAATTCTAAGTAATATAAACAAAGCCAGGATCATCACCTTACCAGACCTTAGGCTGTATTACAAGTCTATACTGATCAAAACAGCATGATATTGGCATAAAAACAGAGACACAGATATTTGGAACCAAATAGAAAACCAATAGATGAAACTAACATCATACAGCCACCTGATTTTTGATAAATCTAACAAGAGCTCACAATGGGGAAAAGAATCTCTATTGAATAAATGGTGTTGAGAGAACTGGATAACCACATGTAAGAAACTGAAACTGGACCCATACCTTTACCACTTACAAAAATTGAGTCAAGATAGACAAAAGATTAAATCTAAGGCATGAAATTATAAAAATTTTAGAAGAAAGTGTGGGAAAAACTCTTGAAGATGTCAGACTGGGGAAGGATTTTATGAAAAAGACTTCCATGACTATTGCAACAACAAAAATAAACAAATGAGACTTTATTAAATGTAAAAGCTTCTTCATAACCAAGGACACAAAAATCAAAGCAAATAGTCTTCAGAATGGGAAAAGATATTTGCATATTATGAATCCAACAAAGGCTTGATAACTAGATCTATAGAGAACTCAAATTAATCAACAAAAAAGAACCAATAATCCCATCTATCACTGGGCAAGAGATGTGAACAGAACCTTCTCTGAGAAAGACAAATGGCTAACAAACATAAGAAAAAAATCCTCATTTTGTCAATGCTGGTACTACAAACTAATACAGCCCATTTGGAAAGAAGTATGGAGAATCCTCAAACAACTCAAATTAGACCTCCTATTTGATCTTGCAATCCCACTACTAGGCATCTATACAGAAGAAAAACAATCATTTTATCATAAGGACATTTGCACTAGATTGTTTATCACAGCTCAATTTACAGTTGCCAAAATTTGGAAACAACCTAAAATGCCCAACTATCCCGGGGTGGATTAAGAAGCTGTGGTATATGTATACCACAGGATACTATTCAGCCTTTAAAAAAGATGGAGACTTTACATTTCATGTATCAACCTTGATAGACTTGGAACATATTCTTCTTAGTAAAATATCACAAGAATGTAGAAGCAAAAACTCAGTATACTCCATTCTAGTATGAAGCCAGTAGATAGTCTAATGCAAACCCACATAAGAGTATAACTCAAATTAATTCAAGGTGGGGGCAGAGGAATGAGGGAGCAGGAAGAGAAGAGGACGGTGAGGGATGAGTATGCTCAACTTAATGGGCACAATGTTAAGATGTATGGCACACATCTTGGGAGCAGGACACAATTATAAGAGGGGCTTTACTTAATAAATGCAAACAATGTAACCTAATTTGTTGTTCCCTCAATTAACTTGAAACAATAAAAAAAAAAAAAAGATACCTTTGAGTGCCACAAAAAAAGAAAAGAAAAAGGAGACATTCCAACTGATACTACAAAACATCATCTGTGAATAGTACAAACATCTATATGCATATAAAATAGAAAAATAGAGGAAATGAGCATATTCCTGGAAATGTACAACCTCCCAGGACTCAATCAGAAAGAAATAGAACTCCTTACCAGACCAATAATGAAAAATGAGATTGAAGCAATAATAAAAAAATCTTCCAACAAAACAAAGCCCAGGACCAGGTAGATTCATAGCCAAATTCTACCATACCTTTAAAGAAGAGCTAATACCCACTCTCCAGAAACTATTCCATAACATCAAGAAGGAGAGATCTCTTTCCATCTCATTCTCTGATCCCAGTATCACCTTGATACCAGAAGCCAGAAGAGGACAAAACAAAACAAAACAAAAAAAAAAAAGAAAACTACAGACAGATATCTCTTATGAATATTGATTCAAAAACCTCAATAAAATACTAGCAAACTGAATTCAAAAGCACATCAAAAAATAATTTAACATGACAAAGTGCACTTCATTCCAGGAATGCAAGGATAGTTCAATATAGGTAAATCAATAAATGTGATTCACCACATAAACAGAAGCAGAAACAAAGACCATATATGATCATCTTGATAGATACAAAAAAAGCATTCAACAAACTTCAGCACTCTTTCATGATAAAAACCTTCAACAAACTGAGCATAAAAGGAACATACCTCAAAATTACATAGCCATGCTTCTTAAAAGAGCTGTT